GAGCTGGACTGCCAGTCCCAAGGAGCTCTCTAACTGCCCCAATTGAAGCTCTTTTCTCTCCTTCCAGACTAAAATACATGGAATTGGATTTGTGAAGATCCATGCGCCCTGGAACGTTCTGTGCCGAGAGGCTGAATTTTTGAAACTCAAAATGCCCACCAAGAAGGTGAGCGCTTCTCTGTCTATCCTAGCCCTACCATAGCTTCAGGAAAGCTCAGGAGCATAGGCTATTGACATGGGGCCGGGCTGCTTGACAAGATGGTTTGCTGGTCAGTTGCATGGCCCTCCATGCCAATGGTGACTGGTCTTTTTTCTCCACCAAAGTATTCTCAGTAACAATAAGAAGGCACCTGGCCTCCCACTGCATTTGCTCTTGGAGGGGACAGTTGCAGAGATTGTTAAAACTTCCTCCTTACCTCCCTCTGTCCATTTTGCAGAAAAGAAGCACAGACCTGAATCTGGGTCTGGTATTTTGTGGCACACAAAACACCAGCCCAAACTGGGAAAAAAGGCTCAGATACTAGAAGAGATGGCTTTAAAGCCCCCTGGAATGGGTGGCCAATGAAAATTCGATGAAACTTTGGGCTCCGAGCCTCCACTGGGGCATCTTTGCCCAACTTATCCTTTTCCTTTTGCCCCCATTTCCTGCTCACTGAACTCCTGAAAGTGGACAGCTATGAAGGGATTTTACAGCCTGTTCCTTACAGTTTATTTAGCTTGGTTTATTTCTCTGTAGAGACAAGAACTAGAGGTATGATGGGTTGTTTACATAGTCCTATCAATCAGACCGTGCCTTCTTGCATCATCTAGCAATCTCCCAGAGAACAGGCATCTCCTTGAATGTGTGACGAAAGTGCTGGATTTGACGAGCTTGCTGCTTTCTCTCCATCTTCCTCCCAGGCTCTTTGGGAAGGTCTCTCTGTCTTCATATGTACAGCAGGATCCTGCTGGGCCTGTGCTGGACCAGATCAGAAGGGTCCCCCCCACACACACACAGCCGAATGATACCGGTTTCCTTTCCTTTCTCCCCCAATCTGCAGATGTACCAGATTAACCAGAGCCGGGGCCTCCTCAAAAAAATTAACTCCGTCCTCCAGAAAATGACAGAGCCTATCCAACCTCGGGTGGCTGGCAACAGATCCCAGAGCATGAAAAGACTCTCTTTCACCTTCTCCAGGGAAAAGCAGCACCTGTGAGTATGAACTGAGCCTGGCCGGCCCAGGCTTCCGGCTTCCGGCTTCTCGCTGCTCAGACTGCCCGGGGCACCCGGGTATCTCGTCTTTAGAAACTGAGAGGTTGCACGGCTGTTCTGCTGGCCCCCTCATGTCTGGCATGGCTCTTCTGCCCGGAGAGTTTGTAGAGATGTTCAGTGTGGATGGCAGTCAATAAATCACTGTAACTCCAGAAAGGTGGATTGGTCATCGACGGGTGCCAGGCCCTGCCCTCTGATGTCAGAGGTTCAGGGGTTGTCGGGATACAAAGATTGGCTGGCTTGTTGTCCTGGACATGTCCAGCCCATCCTTCATGCTTGCAATGTTCTCCGTTCTCACCTGCCTCTTGCAATGCCAAGGTTTACTAAAGTGGGACCTCCTACTCATTTTTTATCAAACTGCTAGCCCTTAGTTCTGCCCCTACCCAGAATATATTACTTGGTGTTCTATCCGCATAGCTTTTCTGTTCACTTTTCTATGTAGACACACAGACACATGTGTGTCCTATGTAGACGTGTAGATACATGTGGATATATAGATATATGTGTCCTGTTCCTCCCCTTGGTAGACTGTAGGCTCATCAAGGTGCCAGGAGGCTTCTCACTTTGTATCCCCTAGTACAGAGTAGGCCTGGCACATAGTGGGTACTTTATAAAAGTGTGGAGTCGAATTGAATGAAAAACCATCTGACCTCTGTCCTCAAGGAACCTAGTGTACAGGGAGGGTGGGGAGCGGGCAGTCCAGAGTGAGAGAGTGTGGCAGTGTGCCCACCAGGGAGGGTGCCCCGAGAAGCTGGGGGCTAGGCCAAAGGTGAGCAAATAAAGGAATCCTGGGAGAAACCAGAGAAGGGAGAGTTCCCTCCCTCTAGAGCAGGTGAGAAGAAAGACAAGCTGTCCTCCAGCCTGAAAGCAGGTGGCCAGCTCCAGAGGAAAAGGGATCCCAGACTGGCGCTCAGAGCCTCGTGGCCGGCTGAGGAAGCCAGGAGGAGGAGCAGGAGGCAGCCCCTTGGGGAGAGGCACCTTAGGAAGCCAGGCTTGAACCGGGTGTCTTCTCCCTTGCCAGCGCAGGGAGGCGGTCTGGTCTGGGTCGAGGGCAGTTGGCCTCGCTCCTAATAAGGGAATACTGTTTTCTTTGGTTTGGAACCAAAGGCCCCTAAATCAATAAGGCTGCCCCTCCTTCTTTGCACCGGTGTCATCTCACAAGTAAATACTGTTTGCAGTTACACCCCTGGTGATACTGAGCAAGCCAGTGAGGTTGTTAACAGGTCCCACAGCAGCCTCAGTCCTCTGTCCTCCTCAGCGTGTCCCTGTAAATAGCAACGTGTGTCAAGAGCCAGGGACTGAATGTTGCGGATCCCAACCCACCAATAATGCAGAGATTCAGCAGAGGGGAAGGGACTGGCCCAAGGTCTCATGGCCCAGCAGTATGTTAGGAAACCGTGCCCTGCCCCAACTGGCTCAGTGGTGGAGTCCCAGGCTTGATGTCACCACGGACAAGGCCCAGCCTGTTTCACTCCATTAGCCAGGGTGGGAAGAGGTACAACTTACCTTGGGGTCTCTGCTGGCACGGGACAGTAACCACCTCCTACCTCCTGTGGAAGGCAGAATAAAGATTCTGTCACATCATTGGTATCCACCTAGATGCCTTAGCCCCTGTTGAGACCACAAGCTCCCTAAGGGAGTCAAAGTTTACAGAGCACTGGAGCCTCATAGTGTTCCTGGGTGGAAAGTTAATACCTCCATCGGTATAATAATAATAATAGTAATAGTAACTAGTGTTTGTAGGGCTACCGGGGTTTGCAAAGTCCTTGTGTTACAATCCTTTTTGATCCTCACAACGACTCTGGGAGGCAGGTGCTGTGATTATCCCCATTTTACAGATGGGGAAACTGAGGCAGATGGGGGTTAGGTGATTTGTACAGGGAGGGACACACAGCTAGGAAGAGTCTGAAGCAGGATTTGGAGTCTTTTGTACTACTGCGCCACTGAGCTGTCCATATGCTGAGAAACCTGTGGGTTCACGTGCGCAGGGGTGCCAGCATGGGAACGTCCAATTGTGATTCAGCCCTCTGCCTGTCTACAATGTAGAATTTTAGCTAGCTTGGAATCCAGCCCTCTGCTCTTTGCACTAAGCTACCCCACTTCGGATGGGATGGAGGTTAAAGGATACAAGAAGTTGGGCTAGGTGACATCTGAAGCCCCTTCTAGCCCTCAATCTGAGATCTACATTGGATCAAAGAGGAAACGGAAGGTCAGAGAGAGGGGTGAGAGGACTTAGCTGTGATCACCCAGAGGTGACAGAGGTGCCATGTGAACGTTGGTGGCTGAGCACAGACCCCTGAAAGATCAGTCCCATCCCACGAGGTCCTCCTCCATGGTGAAGCCCGGCTTCCCAGCCTAGAGCGGGCCACCCTCCGCTGCTGCTGCTGCTGACTCTTCTGCATGACAGGCAGGGTGATGTGGGAAGAAGACTAAAAATAAGGTTAGAAGGCTCCCTTACTTACTAGCGGTGTGTGACCTTGGACTATTCACTCCCCTTCTCTGAGGGTCAGTTTCCTCACCTATTACATGGATGTGTGTGTATATAATCATGGGATCTGGAGCCCGAGAGTACTTGTTCAGTCATGTCTGACTCTTCATGACCCATTTGGGGTTTTCTTGGCAAAGATACTGGAGTAGTTCCATTTCCTTTTCCAGCTCATTTTACAGATGAGGAAACTGAGGCAAACAGGGTGAAGCAACTTGTCCAGGGTCACACAGCTAGTAAGTGTCTGAGGCCAGATTTGAACTCAGGTCTTCCTGACTCCAGGCTCAGTGCTCTCTCCATTGCACTGCCTAGACCCGAGACTACTACCTCCTCTATTTTACCCACAAGAAAACTACAGCCCAGAGAGGTTAAGGCGCTTAGTAAAGTCACATAGCTGGGATTTAAACCCAGATGTCCCTGACTCCCAAGTCCAATGTTCTCTCCAGTGCCTTTCCCTGACAGAGTTGTGGCAACAATGATTGAGGACGAAGCCTGTTCGTGAGTGAGTAGCCATTCATGTTCTGTATTTAATTCCGAGTAGCCTAAGTGAGTTCTCAGGGTGGGTGGGTGGGGGAAGCCTTGTAAAAAATAGCAAATATGTTGTCTCCTGCTCATGGTTTTCTCCCCCAAAGAAGGCTTGAACAAAAGTGGTCAGTCTTCATTCTTAGTTGCCAACAATGGTCCTGTTTCTGTGATCATTTGTGACATTATCACTTCCCAATTCCCAATAGACAGAACATGGGCCAAGGCTCTCTCCAGTAACCAATGCCCTGTTCTCTTCAATATCCCCACAGGTTTGACCTGAGCGATAAGGATTCCTTTTTCGACAGCAAAACTCGGAGTACCATAGTGAGTATGGCTAGCCTTCTTGTGTCCTCTACAGCTGAGGGGTTGCCCTTGGGAATCCAATGTGAGTTTCCTTTCCAAGGTCTTCATCCAATGGTAGAATGGTATTCATGCCATAGTCATGAAATGACAGATTCCAGAACTTAGAATATTATGCTGACCAAAAGTGGGGAAGAAGAAGGCTTCCTTGTACGTTGTGGGAGAGAGGCAAGAAGTACAATGTGTGCCTCCACCTTTGAATAATGTCTCTGGTCCTGAATCATTGTAAATCAGAGAGAGAAAAGTGATGACTCTCTCGGAGCCCCCTGAAAATTCAGCCTGGGTTGTATTTTGTAAGCTCCAACCCACATATAACTCCTCAGCTTTGGAGTTAGATGGCCCCTGGACCTGCCTATCATGGAATGTGGGTCTCAGAGAAGCCAGGCACCAGGTTTGGTGTGGACATTGCGCCCATTGGTCAAAACAAATGAATGCTTACAATCTGACCGGGGCCACCCTGCCCTGGTGCAGGGGCTGCTTTGTGTTTATCTATCAGCTGCCAGCTGGGAAGGCAGCCATTCCTCATGCTGTATGTGCCTCAGCTCAGGGCAAGCCTTTTATCTAAACAAGAAATTAAGGTTTCAGCCAAGTTGCTGTTCTGAGGCCTTCTCTGCAGAGCAAATAAACAAGTCTGGAGTTTGAGTCTAGCTGGGGGAAAGAAGGCACGGATCAGGTGGCCACGAGTCCTGCTCTGGGTCTGCCCAACACTTCTGCAGTGGGTCCACTAGACTTGAGGGGAAAGGGGCTTTTGTTGGCCCAGCTGTATTGCAGCTGAAGAATACACAAGATTTTCTTAAGAGGGAGTTAAGAAGAGTCTCTCTCCTCAGCAAAGTGCTTTTCAAGACCTAAACTGCTGGTGGGCACAGTCCCATAGCCTGGGGACCTGGCCAGATTGGGAGCTAGATCATAGAGGCAAAGATTCAGAGCTGGAAGGGGCTTTACCGATTTTCTAGACCACCCACCTCATTTGACACATGAAGGTCCAGAGAGCTTAAGGAGCTAGCCCCCTTAAGGAAGGAGGGAGCAGAGGTTGGATTTGAACCCAAGTCTCCTAAAACCAGTTCTAAGCCCCCTTCCAAGACACTGTGCCCTGCTTTTGCTCTCAGCACAGCCTGTTCTGCTCCACCCTGGACCTAAACCAGAATCCCTAGAGCATTCCCAACTAGTAACTAGCCTTTCTGTGCTACAGGGCCTCAGAGTGTGGGAATCCACTCCCACTTCCAAAAAGAGGATCCCCCCCCTTGGGGCCAGCTCTCTTTGGTGGTTGGGGGCGGGGGGTGGTCCTTATTTAATCTAGCTGAATTTGTCCTTTCTGCCATCCACTGTTCTTGGTTCTGCCTCTGGGGCCAAACAGAATAAAGTCAATCCCACCCTTCAAATGCTCCAGACACAGCTCTTTTCTGCCTGTATCTTTACAGGCAGAACCTCACCCTCCTCCCAAATTAACTTCAGCCAGTCCCCAGATGGCATGAACTCAAGGCCCTTCCTCATCCTGGTTGCCCCCCTCTATGTCCTTCTTGGAGCAAGGCCTCCAGGTGGAATCTGAGTAGGGTAAGCTGATGGCCAAGTAAGGAAGACCAGAGGCCATTCTCTGCCCCAAGTCCTTCCCCAAGTCACCACGCCCCAGTGCCCTGAGACTCTACCACTCCCATTAGCAATAGAAAGTCTTGTCCTATATTATAACAGCACTATTTAGGCCTTGAAAGGCAGGCAGTCTCCAAGAGAGCTTTGGAGTCCCCATTCTGCTACTTATCAATTGTGTGACCTTGGCCCAGTCACCTGCCTCTTCTGAGTTTCCATTTCACTCCTAGGTGAAGTGGAGAAGATTATTGCTTGTCTTATCTCCATCAAAGGGGCCTTCAGAAAAGAATTTCACTGTCACGTTTCCAGCCTGATCCAAGGGGGAGCCGTTGTTTTTAGTGGGAGAGTTTAAAACGCCCATCAGCAGGTTCCCAAAGACCCCTTCCTTCTTGTTTCTCTTCTTCAAAAAGTACTCCCTACCTGCCAATAATGAGCTGGGACCAGACCTGTGGTTTCCCCTGGGGAAGGACCTCCTGGTGAAGCATTTCCCTCTTCGAGAGCAGATTGGCCCCTTCTCACCAACAGTCTTAGACAGGAACCTGGGGCAGGGAGAGGTTAGCCTCCTTAGCCAGTGTACCTTGGAGGCAGGACCTGAACCCAGCTCTTCTGACTCTGAGGCCAGCCCTGCCACCACTACAACATGCTCACTGCCTCTGTCCTTATTGCTCTGAACCTGAAGAAAGCATCCCGCTCACACTTCTGTTGAAGTCTGATCTAGTCTCCCTTTCCCCACAACCTTCCTCTGTTGGTGGAAGCTGCTAGAGGGAAGGGGCTGTCCTTTTACTTGTATCCCTTCCCAACATGCGAATGCCTTTGCACACAGTAAGTAGTTAATAAATGCTTCCTTCCTTCCTTCTTCTCGGTGCTAAGCTTTCTTATCTGTAACAGATAAGAATAGCCCAAACAAACCTCCCTGGGTGGTTGGGGATCAAATGAATTAATGTATGTAAAGTGCTTTGCAAACATAAGCTTTATTGGCTGTGATGGAAGAGGATTGTAAGTCCAGGTGAGTCCAAGCTGAGAGTAAAACTGAGGTCATGAACTCGGGGGAATGATGGAAAGATACTGGGGACCTTGGCCAGAATAGGGAAGTTTGGAACTGGGGACAATGGGGTCAGGGGAAGGGAGAAAGAAGGAAGATGAGAAGTTCTGGTTTTGGCACACGTTGCGATTGAGATGCCCAATAGATGTCTAGTTTGCCATGTCCGAAGGGCAACTGGCAGGGTTTAACTGTGCCTTAGCAGAGACTAGGGCTGGAAATAGAGATTTGGAAATCACCTGCATAGAGATGGGCATTGAACCCATGGGGCTGCTGAGATCACCAAGGGAGATAGGACAGAGGAGAAGTAAAGGGGGCCCAGGAGAAAGTCGAGGGGGAAACCCAAGATTAGTGACCGCGACAGATAAAGAGATCTAGCAAAGGAGGGTAATTAACAAGCCAATGGTAAATAAAAGGTCTTGCTGCAGTAAGTTATCACCGATGTCTTAGGTTTTGTGTATGGCCTTGATCCACGGAGTGTCCTGATAAGTTTACCAGGTGGGCAGGGAGAGTGATGGCCAGGCTTCCGGGGTGGGGCGAGGGTGGGGCATCAGGGATTTGAGCCTTTGCTTGAGACTGTGTCCATTGATTCCTTCTTGGGAGAACTAAAGATACCCTGAGGAAGACTTCATGACTAGGATTCCTCCAAGATGAGCAGGCTGACATGGAGATTATAGGAGGAGCCCCTCTCTCCTTTGCACTGGTCTATCAAAGGTGGATGGGGGAGGTCTTCATCTCAGCCCTTGCTTTTTGCCTCTTTCCTCCTGGTTTTGAGATCCTGAGAGTGCCGCAGAGATAGCAGTCCCCACAGGTGTCGCCATCCCACTGGCCCATGAGCCATCCTCCTAATCTTAGGGGTCACCCCAGTCACCGAGACTCAATCAGAGCTCATCCTTGGTCCTCTCAAGGAGATGCCAATGGACATAGCCATTGTGTGAAGATGTACTCTTAGGACTTCCAAATGGAGCCTCACCTCCCTGGGAGCTCCCCAGGTTGATCAGGTGCCTTGTTAATTAGACCCTCAACATTAGGAATATAATGACAAAATTAAGCAGGATATTTAAGGCCCTTTAGACATCCTGCAGTAAGATCTCAGGATTCCTTACCTTCAATGGATTTGAAGAATATTAGTCTAGCTGTGTGACCCTGGGCATGTCACTTAATCCCATTACCTAGCCAAAAAAAAATAGTATTGCCTCCTTTATAGAAGGTTAGACCTTTTATTTTATAAATGAGTTGGTTTGAAATAAGGAGAAAATAATTAGAGGGGGTAGGAATTAAACACACACCCCCTCCCCCGTAGTTCAACATCGTTCTGAAAAGACAGCGGGGTGTCTGACATCCCACAGGGAGCATAACAACACCCCTCCCCCAGATTCTGCCTCCTGACACTTAGCTGGGCACCACCAGACTAAGCATTCACTCATGGTTCCCAGAGGAAAAACCTCGAACAATACATGAGGCCTGTGATTGATGATCTACTTGACAGGAATGAAAGACAGAATCAGCGATAGCCCCATCCCCTGCCCTGCCACAGTCCTGTTCTTTTTGTGACATGTCTCCTGTGACTCTGGGCACACACAAGCAGGCTTCTTGGGATTTCTCAGGAAAGTGGGTCTTCCCTGGGAAAGGGGCTTCACCTCCATTGCCGGCATCATTTCAGACGCAAGTGCAAAACTGGGGTCGTGGGATATATGTCTGCTTGTACCCTGGAGTTGGTGGAAATTGGCATGAGGGGTCTTAGAGAAATATTCTGTTAATGTTGTATATTTCCTAAAAATGAACCACCACACCTCCCCCTCATCTGTATCTCTCCCACCCCCCACCCCCATCTTTGTCTCTGACATAGGTGTATGAGATTTTGAAGAGGACGACCTGCTCGAAGGCCAGCATGGGTAAGGAGACATGTGGAAAGGGTGGAAATCCACTCAGCTCTGTCCCTTTTCCAGTGCAGACCTGGAAAAGGGGTGAAGGGGTAGCACCCACTGAAATGGTCTTCCTTTATTTTTCCCTCATTCTGGGGTTTTTGATAATGGTTTAATTGCATGTGCCAGTTTTCAACAAGAGCTGAAGTGCATATATGTTTTCATGTTGGTCAGTCTGGGTCAGCTGGCCCAGGACTTTCTTGGTACTGAGGATTTGTACTGATCTACAGAGGGAACCTTTAAACTCTGTGGCAGGAGATCTCAATAACACTGGCTGTCACTGGACGGGACCAAGAAATCATTCCTTTCTCTGGTGGAGTCAATAGCCATTGAGAAATGGTAATAACAGCATTCCTAGTTGGTATCAGAGAACTCGTCATCAAGCAGCTGCTTTGGGCTGGGCACTGTGCTTGGTGCTGAGGTTTCAAAGACAGAGAGGAAACCAAGGTCTGCCCTCCAGGAGCTTACACTCTACCCAGACCTGGGCTCCCCAGGGGAGCCTCCTGACATGCTGAATTGGCCCACAGCTGGGGCTGACCTTAGACCCTCCAGTCGTAATGGGGTCAGGACGTGGACCCAGCTTGCCCATCCCCCCGACTGCATGGGCAAGGATGGCTGGTGACCTGTTATGCCATAGAGAGCTGAAATGAATAGCTTGTGGTTCAGAGTGGAGGCTGGTGATAAGTCGCTCTGTTCTCAGGGATGCTGATTCTAACCACAGCTGACTTCCTGTGGGGGCAGAAATTCCCCCTGAGGGAACCCAAGTTGGGTGGGAGGCAAGCTTAAGCCATCAGGGTTTCCCTCCTCCCCTGGCAGCTGCCAGGACTGAGCTCCAGCCCCCTGTGGGACACAGGGCATTGATGAGACGGCCGCTGGGGCCACCTGAGCAACAGAGATTCTTGGAGGGCCCTGCGGCTGATGTCCAAGGACTGGGGAGAAAGAGAGGGGATATTGGAAGCTATTTGCTACATTTATTAAACACCTGCTGTGTGCCCAGGATTCAAAACTGGTTCCTGTCCCCCAGGAGCTTCCATTCTAATGGAGAGACAACATGCAAACCACTACTGCATACAAAATGAGGGGAAGTCAGGGAGGATCTGAGCTGAGTTGTGAAGGCAGCCAGGGAAGCTGGGAGGGGACAGCATGCCAGGACAAAGGCAGAGAGGTCAGAAGTGAAGGGTGTGCTCCATATCAAGCAATCACACACTGATAGGGAACTCAGGCCACCTGGTCCTGCCCCCTCTTTTTCCAGGTGAAGAAACTGAGGCCCAGGTTAGTGAAGTGACTTGCCCCATCCCGCTCCCCAACTCTTGTGCTTCCTGGCCCACCCCAAGTCCAGGGAATCTTCCCGTGGCCCACATCCCTCCTCAGTCGAGGCACTGAATAGTGGGTGCTGTGGTCCTCAGTCTTCTTTGCCCATCCCTGGCTAGGGCAGGCGTGCTCACACTGGTCGGATCTCCTTCAGGTTTGGCCCTTGTAGACAACCAGGGAGCACAGTGGAAAGGGAGATGTGGAAAACTGGCTGCCTCAGTTTCCTTGTCTTTGAAATGGGAGCATTAATAGTGGGCAACCTCTTAGGGTTGCTATGAGATGGTATCGGTAAAGTGCTTTGTAAACCTTAAATGACAACTATTATTATCGTCCATCAGTCTCGGCTTCCATCTGGCCTGAATTCCATTTCATTGCAACAGCTATCTCCATGTGCAAGGCCCTGAAGATTCCATGATAGGAGTAGGACCCAGTGCCTGCCCTCTGCAGGCTTCCGGGCCAGGAATGGCAGACAAGGGTTGGGGAAGTCTGACTGGACTAGTGGCCAAAGAGAGAGCCCTGGAGGAGGTGAAAAGGCAGACGTGGAATTCTTTCTGATGATTTACAGTGAATTCCTTCCTCTTCAGAGCCAGAACATAGGATGACAGGGTTATTAGTGGGAGGGACCTTAGAGGTCCTCATTTTACCGAGAGGAAGTGACTTACACAAGGTCACTCAGCTGGAGAAATAGTCTTGGAACATAGATCCTCATTTTCTACTCTGCCATGAACTCTCTTTTCAGTTCTGGTCCAATCAGTGAGGTAACTTAGCCACCCCCCAGTAAAGAACCCCCTTCTGGGGAAAGTCCCCTTCCATTTAGAAGAGGCATCTACAAACTCCCTGGGACGAGCCCCTCAGGGCAGGTTAGTGGCCTTGGCTCAAGGATTCTGGTCCATCACCACCCTCCCGAATTCTGGTCCAATATCTTAGGATCAGAAGATCTTAGGTATCCTCGAGGCCAAAAGTCCAGCCCTCTCATTTTATAGGTAAGGAAAACAAACAGTCCTTGGAGGTTAAATCAGCTTCTGGGGTTCCTCTGATTCAAGAGCCAGTGTCCTCTCCACTGTCCCAGACAGAAGCTTATAAGAAGCCAGCCCTTACAGACCTCACTGCCCATCCCTGACTCCCAGGGCTAGCTGAGATGGCTTCTAAGAATAAGTCTGACCTTTGAAACATCCCCCCACCAGAAGGGCCCAGAAGTTTGGCCCCGGCCTGGGTCCAAGCCCAGTCCCAAGGGGAATTGTCCCTGAGCCTTCCTGAGTCGTTCCCCGCCCCCACTCCCTCGCTTCTTTTATTTCCAAATGCAACATTGAATTGCCGGAGGCCCATTCATGTAACTAATAGACTGATGTGTAAACAGGGCAAGGAGAGGGAAGAAAGAAGGATACTGCCCTTTTAAATAAAAGGAGAAAATGTGGTCAATATGGTAAGTCCTGTCTTCCCACTCCTGCCCAAGGCTGTGGGAAAACTCTCCCTCCTGCTTCTCGAATCAGTCTCCAACCTCGTTTTAAATTGTGTGTGTGTTTCTTCACATCATCGATTTCCCCTTCCGTGTTTTTCTCGTGATTTGACCTTTTCTAACCCCTCCAATACATACTTTCAAATCTGCAGGCTTTCCCTCCCAAGCAGGTAGGGTAATAGGAGTAACTCATTCTTAGTTCCTCCCAGACATAATGCTATCTTTTTTTCCTCTGTAACTTTCTAATCCTGAAAATTGAGCATGTTTTAATCTTCTGCTTAGTAACAGTCGTAAGGGAGGCGGCCTCTCCGGGAAGATCAATACAGAGGGATTTCTGATTTCTGGGGAGCCAGACTTACTGATTTCTCTTGGTGAAAACTCTTTTAGTGGCTGAGATATTTCTGTTGATTTCAGGAGAACATGGGATGTGGGGCTGGTCACTAATCCCTCACATGCCTCTCTTTTTAAGGAATCACCAGCCTCCTGGCCAATGGAGTATATACCGCAGCCTACCCCCTGCATGATGTAAGTGACCTGGCAATGCGCTTCATCCCTGTTTGAAGGGAAGAGGGAAATGCCTCATATCATGATTTCAGTTCTTTTTGTCAGTTTATAAGCATTGATCAAGTGCCTACTATGTTCTGGGAACCATGACAGGTATTGGGGATGCACAGACAAAAACCGAAAAGAGTCTCTGCCCTCACAAACTTGGGCTTTATTCTGTTCCCTGAATAGCCAATCCATTTACACTGATGAGTAAATCTATGACAGTTTGAGGCAGGAGACACCTGCCAGACCAAAAGGGCTTCCCCAGGGAGGGGGGACCTGGGGTGGGGAACCTTGAAGGAAACTGAGGATTCTGGGAGACAGCAGTGAGGAGTAAGGGTGCATCTGGCATGCTGAACAGCCTGAGCAAAGGTGGGGGAGATGGACTGCTGAGCTTATGGAGCCAGAAGGAGCCTATTTGACTGGAGCATTGAGTAGAAGTAGAATGATGGGTAAATATGTGCAGAAAGGTGACCTTAAAGCCTAATGATGAGAAGTTTTAGCTTCCAAGAAGGCAGGTTATATTTGATACCAGATGCAGTAGGGAGCCCGAAGGTTATTGAACAGAGGTGTGACGTGTACTTTAGGGAAATGATTTTGGCTACCACAGGGTAGGTAGGTACTCATTGTTAATCGATAGGAAAGAGCCCTGGCTTTGGACTCAGTTTTCAGGTTTGGATTTTGGATCTACTACTTGCTCCCTGGGTCACCATGAAGGGCCCAGGGCCTCAGTTTCCCCAACTGTAAAAAGAAAGGAACTGGAAGCTAGGAGTCACTTAACTGTCTCAGTAGTCCAGGGGAGATCTCCACTCTGATCATCCAGGGGTGGGGAGAGGACTGGCTCTGGCCTTATGTGCCAGGTGACACGGGCTGAGAAGAGCTGCTCTCGCTTCCCCAGTGAGGCCCCCAGCCATCGGAGGGTCATGAGAGCAGCTCTCCAGCCCCACTTCACAGAGGCAGCTGAGGACTGGGCTGAGGGAGGACACCTTCTCCCCGGGGCTGACCGACTGCCCCGCTCGGCTTCTCCAGAGCAAGAAGCTGGCTTCCTGGACGCATCCCAAGGATCTCTGTCCCCTGAGCAGATGGGAGCCTGTCTATATCTGGCTGCCCTCAGGCTAAAGAGAAGAACCACGCTGTTTTTAACTCATCTGTAAAATGGGAATTCTTGGATCCTAAATCATAGACCGTGGAGCTAGGAAGGGCCATAAGGCTCATCCAGTTGAAACTTTTTATAGTTGGGGAAACTGAGGCCCTGGATCCCTCACAGTGACCAAGGGAGCATATAGCAGATCCAGAATACAAACCCAAGACCCAAGTCCAGAGCCAGGGCTCTTTCCAGTCTATCAGTAAGCATTTATCAAGCCCCTACTGGGTGCCAGGAATACAAGAAGGAATGGAACAATCCACCTTTCTCTGAGCTCACATTCTCACACACTGCATTGCCTCAAGGATCTGTCTCTGCCTTATAAGACCAGCTGGATAGAACCCCCTAAGCTGAGGGTGGGGGACTGTATGAGCGTGTCCCTGAGGGCATGAGAGAAAGGGCCTCTCCTGGCTAACCACAGAATCATGTGACTTTTCTATGCCCTTTTATTTTTTAAACAGGGTGACTTTGAAGGAGAAGATGTAGAGGTGAACGACAGAAAAGTAAGTTAAGGCAGAGTATTTGCCTGGTTCATCCCGGCCAACTACCAGCATCAATTAAGTGCCAACTCTTGTGCAGAACTTGGTGCTCAGCTTTGGGGCAACAAAGACAAAACTAGACATGGTCCCCGCCCTCAAAGAGCTTCCATTCTACTGAGGGTTGTGGGGCACAACAAAGAAATAGATAAATACGTACGTGAATGTTTGGAGAGGGAGCAAATACTAACAGCTTAGAGAATGGGGGGCTTCCTGGGGAGGCTGGCTCTGGAGCTGAGACTTGAACGAAGCCAGGGACTCTAAGTCCTTCACTTGGTTTAATGGCAAGGGCCCTGGACTTAGGTCAGAGGACCTGGATTCAAATCCTGCTTCTGACACTTCACAGCTTGGTGACCTAGGGAAGTCACTTGATGTGTCTGGGTCTCAGTTTTCTTATAAGTTAAGGTTGTCAATTAGGTTATACTTGATGGCCTCCAAGTGCCCTTACCCCTCTAAATCAGTGATCCTAAAATCCCCAGAATCCCTGGTGGACCCCTTCACTGAACTTGACCAGAGTTCAGGGTGTCCCTGCTCTGATCTAAATGGCCTCTAGTCAATAAGTCAGTCAATCAGCAACCATTTATTGAACACCCACTATGTGCTGGATGCAGGAGGCACAAAGACAAAAGCAAAATCAGCCCTGGGCTCAAGGAGCTGTTCATCAATAGGGGTTGACAGTATGTGTCAGTGTATTCAAAATAAAAACCCATACACAATCGATATGCGGGAGGTAGAAGAAGGTGGAGGCATCAGGAAAGGCTTCCTATAAAAGGGGAGAATCTTGAAAGAAATAGGATTGTCAGAGGTGGAGGGGAGAAGGTGGTGCACTCCAGGCATGGAGGGGCAGCCAGGACAAAGGCACGGAGTTGGGAAAATCAAAGTGGTGTGTGTGAGGAACAAAGAGAGAAAATCGTTTGACTGGGCTGGAGAATAAGTGAAATAAAATAACAAATAATGAAGCTGGCAGGGGCCAACCTGGGAAGGGCTTTCCAGAAGCCAAGCAGGGCCTTTCTGCTTGATCCTGGAGGTGTCCAGGAGCCCCTGGAGATAATTGAGGGGACGGTGGAGGGGATAACATGGTCACAGCCGCTTTAGAAAAAGTCACCTTGGCTGAGTGGAGTGTCCCGTTGGAGAGGAGGGATGCTGAAGGCAGGGAGGCCAACCCAGAGCCAGCTCTGTGGTGATTTCCAGGGTCACCTTCCATCACCATGCCTCCCAGTCCCTCGCAGCAGATGGCCTTGCCTCCTCCCTGTGTGCCATCACAGAATGGTAGAGATCATCAGGGGGCCAGCCCATCCATTTGAAGGGAAGACAGGGTCCCTCACATTATCCCCACACCCCAACATTGCCAAGCTGCCATCCCATACACCAGACTCTGAGAGTGGCTTCTGAGTGGCTTTCTCCATCAGATTCATCTTTGTTAAGTAAGCCAAGGCTTAGTCTTGTACACTTTCCTCTATGAGAAATGTGAATCTCCCGTTCAGTGACGCAGTGTACAGCGTTCAGTATCAGGGATCGGTGGCCTTCCAAGTGCCCAGCCAAGAATGGGCTCTTGGCCTGAGCAGGGAGTCAGCTGAGGGCCCAACATTACCCTTGACATGGTGCAGGAGACTCCTAGAAATTGATATTTGGAAGCAGGGGACAGAGACTTGGCAAACACTGAGGCCCCTTCGGTCCCATCCACCCAACTCATGATCGAATTGCACAAGCCCATCTACACCCATGTGCCAATCTCTCCTCTTTTTTAAATTTCTTGTAATGGATCCATTCACCTGGTGGAGAATGAAGCCCTTGTTTCCTCCAGGGCCAGCTCTGGGCATTACTTAGGCATCGCAAAAAGTGGTTTTGGGTCACTTGTGAAGAACCTCCTTCTCTTAGGACTGCAACCAGCCATTGCCCTGCTGGAAAGAAAGTGGAGCCCAAACGGCCACGGTCTCTCAGGAATTCAGCGTATCAGCATTTGTGGAGGACAGATAGAATGACCGGCGTGGGTAGTGCTGAAACGTGGGAGGTTGAATCCCTTGGATACATTTCAGTTTGTACTTGGTTCAACCAGACTGAGGCTCTTGTCCCAGCACACACCTGAATCCTCATGGGTTTCTGTAGCCTGCAGCATCCCTCACCTGGTGGCCAGCCTTCTAGGGATGAAGAGAATAGTACAAAAGCTTGGCAAGCCTTTTCCCCCCCAGGCCAGAGTCTTCTCCTTCCTACAGAGCCCTTCCTTGAAAGGCGAGTGTCCCATTCCCCAGGGTCAGAGGGGTGACAGTAGTGAGCCTCGCTTGTGTGTGCGTGTGTGGACGTTTTTCCTAAGGGCTATAAATAACCCTGCCAGCTCTCCCAAGAGAAATGTAGCCATGTTCTTTTTGCCCTGAAGGATGTACCAATGTGGCTGTCCCCTGCCAACAAGCTTTTTCTGCTATTTCTCATGGAGAGCGTGGGTGCACTCAAGGGACTGAAGTACAGGAAAACCACAATTTCCAATGAAAAGCCCATTTTTTTCCACCCAGGGCTGGTGGGTGTGGTCCTGAGCTGCAATTTCATGTGTATGAGAAGTCTCAGTGCATAAGTTCATCCACTGATGCCCATCGGCCACTTGTCTGTACCGAGAGAAGTTAAGATACGGCTGTTCTGGGTCAGGAGCAGCACAAAAACTGGGGTCTTCCTGAGGCCATAGCCAGCCTCAAGAAACTGCACCCGCCGACTTTGCACTGTCCCATAGCCACCTAGAAATGATCCGGGACACTAACCCTAACCCTCCGACTACACCTCCTACTGTTGGTGCCTTCCATTCCTGGCTGCTTTGTCTTCCTAAGTATGCAAGAAAGGCTGGTAATGTGATTTCCTCTCCTTCCTAACCCCTTTTGTTTTCCAGATTCTGTGTGAGGAGTGGGCCACCTATGGGGCCTTCTATAAGTACCAGCCAATCCACCTCATCAGGTGAGGTCAACTTGGCCTTGAGTGGGGCCTGCCTCTCCAGCCAGAGGTCATGGGAAAATGGGCTAGGGTCCCTGGTAGTCATCAGATTCACCTCCCAGTGACAGACATGTATTTCAGATCTGCCTTGTGCCTGTAACTACATTCCACCTTGGAATCTGTTGGAACTTGAAAGAGATTGTGGCTTATAGCAAACAACCCATCTCCTTTTGAGAATTTAGTGGTTTTTCTTAGGCTGTGCCATCTAGCCTGAGGTGACTTAAGTCTGACCTAGAGACTGTTAAGTCTTTATTCATGATAGACAATGGACTTCAAAGGAAAACCTCATTCCCAGTGAAGAATTCCTCCCCTTCCTGTCTCTTGATGCCCCCCTTCCGCTTCTCCGGGCATCTCACCTAGGACGCTATGAGGAAGGTGCCACATGCACAGGGGACAGCAGGACGGAGCCATCTCTTAGGCAGCAGAGAAGGAGGTCTGGGGAACTCTCTTATCTTGTTCTTCTGAGCAAAAGGTTCTTCTCAGGAGAATGAAAAAGGGAGGATTGGGACAGCCAGCTCCGGAAGCCAGAGCCCTGTTTGTGTGTGGGCAAGACTCAAGAAAATGAGAGAGTAGAGGGAGAGGAGAAGGGATAGGGAGAAGGAGAAAAAAGGAAAAGGAAGAGAGAGGGAGGAAACATTTCCAAGAAAGACACATGCCAGGCTCAGCACCCCATTCTCCACCACTGATGTGGCAGCCCAGCATTAGAAGATGAGTGGAGGATGGGGGCACCTCTCACAATTGACTTAGGGCAATAGCTCTTTCTCTGAGCCCTTTTTTCCTTCATTGTTTCAGGAAGTATTTTGGAGAGAAGGTCGGCCTGTACTTTGCCTGGCTGGGTGTGTACACTCAAATGCTCATTCCCGCTTCCATTGTTGGGATCATCGTGTTCCTTTACGGATGTTTCACCGTTGATGAAAACACACCCAGGTAGGCCAAAAACAAATGATCACCTTGAAAGTGTTTAATTTGATCGCAGGTCCTAAGATGATCCCTAGAACTCAATTTTAGAGTCTGAGCCCCCAGTTTCAACCCCTGAGCTTTGCTACTTATGACTTCTGTCCTGGAGGCAAGTCCCCTCCCGAGACCTGAATTTCCTCACCTCTAAATGAGACTGGACTCAGTGACCTCCTAAGACCTCATGATCCTATGGTTCCAGGGGTCAACCCTTCACCCCCAAATCCCCAAGTGTCATTCCATCCTTCATGAGGAAAAAAAGGGAGACTGGTCCAAGGAAGCATACCAAGTAGATCAATATCTGCACCGAGAGGATGAAAGTTATTCCGGGGCACGAGGCCTTCGTGATGAATTTTACCGTCAATCAGGAGACAGATCAAGGATGTGACCCATTTTCATTTTTGTATAGTTCTTTTTAAAAGAGTTTAGGCACCACGTGCCCTGAGAGTGACTGCCTCCCCGCGAAGTTCGGGAGCAGGCCAGGGAGAATCCCAAAGGTTTTGTTCCTCCCCGCATCCAGCACACCTCTGCTTCCCTCCCCCTGCCCCCGACCTATCAGCCCAGTCATCTGGCGGCACTTTGCAGAAACCGTGTGCCTGAGCACAGGTTAGGTGTCAAGTGCAGAGTTAGTGTTGGCTACCTCCTTTCAAAGCCAGCTCTAACGTGTCCAGATCTGGAAGGTGCACCAGGACCTGTGAGGCTGCTCAAGGCAGCTCTCGAATCGTCTGAGTGCAAGGTGACCTTTGAGACCACAGAGTCCAAGCCCTTTGTTTTACACATGGGGAAGCCAAAGCAGGAAGGGGGAGGGCCTTGGGAAGCCAGGGGCAGAGCTAGGGGTTTAGGCTCCCAAGCCAGGGGTCTGCACCCTACTGTGTGCTGCCTGCTTCAGGGGTCTGCACCCTACTGTGTACTGCCTGCTTCAGGTCTCCACCCTACTGTGTGCTGCCTGCTTCAGGGGTCTCTGCCCTACTGTGTGC